GAGTCCCCGTGTGCAAGTTGCGCACGTTAAAGATCCCTTGGTGGTCTAAAATCGATAAGAGTAGGCTTCGGCCGCCACCGGGCAAAATTCAAAATTTCCTACCAACTGAAAATATTAGGTATGTCCTGCGCGCTCATATGACCTTATGCAGTTGCAAGCGCCGTAAAACACTTTACAAAAACAAAAAAAAACTTCCTTCCTTCCTTCCTTCCTTCCTTCCTTCCTTCCTTCCTTCCTTCCTTCCTTCCTTCCTTCCTTCCTTCCTTCCTTCCTTCCTCCATTCATTCACTCTCCCAAGCGTTCAGGTTCCGTATATTTATTTATGAACCGAGTCTGGTTTGGCGTCCTACCTGCATTGGTTTGGCAGCGATCCTGCTTTGCCAGCTAGCCTGGTCACAGAAGGTCACAGACGCTGCCACAAAGACACCCTGGACAGCCCAAACCATGGAGTCCGCGGACCAGAAGGTCAAAAAGTTATTCTCCTCATTATCAGCTGGCCCTGGATATGAAACAACGTAAAAAATCCATGTTTTGAAAGATGTGTTTTATGTTGTATTATTGTCAGCAAATTTTTCTCTTCCTATTTAATTTCATGAAAGCAATATATATTATTGGCGTTGTTGGCCTAGTGGTTAGGTTACCAGACTTGTAATCGTGAGGTTGCGGGTGCGGGGTTTCGAGACGCGGGCCCGACGTTGTGTCTCTGGGAAAGGCACTTTACACGAATTTTTTTTTAAACTTCCCCCAGACGGCGAAAGATCTTGTCAGTATGATAGTGTTTAAGCGCCCATAAATGGCAGCTTGCTGTGTTTGCTTCCCACGAAGTTGAGTTTGTATCAGAATGCTCTCTGGTCTGTGGGGATAATAGTATAGATTGTGAAGCGCATAGAGCTTGCTGTTGAGCGGGAATTTGCGTTATAAATTATTATCATTATTATTTCAATTTCTTTGTATAGTCTGTGTTTTTACCATTCCTATACAGCTACAGAAAAATGTCCCACGGAGACAGCAAAGTATTATCTCATCTCATCTAATCTCATCTCATCTCATCTCACCTTATCTTATTTTTATCTTATCTTATATTATCTTATCTTATCTTATCTTATGTGGCTAAGTGGGTAGGCCTTACAGACAAAAATATGTGTTCCAGATGATAATAGGGGACGGTATCTAACCAAATAGAAATTTATAAGTATGTCTCCACCTCAGAAGTACAAAGATCTCTACCAGCTTAATACCTAGTTTTGAGAAATTTGACGTCAAAATTGTTGAGTTTCACAGAAAGTCAAACTTTTCGAATATAGTTCTTCGAATATCTTGATAACGACTCCAAATATTCTTACGGTTTTGATAGCGCTGATAGAGCATTAGAAATTGGTTCCTGACCTCAAGGTCCGAGTAACTCAAAACGGTAAAAAATGTCAGATATAACTTTGTAATTCTGAGGTAACAGTGCAATAATGCTGGCCCGTCAATGTCTGACGATGACCAACGCACTAAAACAGGAGAATATTTTCCATGCAAAATAAAAGAAAGAATGATTATGATGACTTATGGCTTCTGCCATAACATATTAGACTATTAAAGGCAGATACAAGTTTGCCACATTTTGAGCATTTACAAGCTTTGTTTCCACAAGTGGATGTGCCAGTGATGAACTAAAAAAAGACCCCGAACAATAAGAAAAAGTTAGCTTTAAAACAAAATAAGACATGAGATAAATAGATAAGGTAGATAGATAGCAGGAGTGGCTCGTGGGGCTAAAAAGTGGACGTGCACAATTAAGCTAACGCATGTTGAAGATAGTCAAGGGCATAGTGAATGAGACGCTGTGCAATTTTAGGATCTTTGGGTTCGTGAGGGAGGACCCCGTGCTTTCATTTTCATTATTTTTACTTGTTGCTTTAATTTCTAGTACTTATAAATTTGTTTGTTAGCTAAACATCAATTTCGTTCATCCTGTATTGGAACTGAACACTCAAGTAATAACTTTCACAACTCCACTACAAAACCATTCATAGGCACAACTCGTAGAACGGTCACGTTCACCTCCCTCAGGTTCACGGTCACAGAGTCACTTAAAATAGTGGCAAGACAGACAATGAACCAATCACAATTCACTCGACCACTCCACTGGATTGCTCCGGGGCTCACATAATATTGGCAAAGAATAGCGTACGGCCTATCGTGTTTATTTTTAGACTGCCTATTGTGGGCTATGTTTCGGCACTCTTCGGCTGGAGCACATTGGAGATGTGCCGTCTTATTAATATTAATGTACCGCCAAACCCGCTACGAGTGTCGTCATCGCTTGGGTTATCCCCAAGAGCGATTTATAGGTCAGGTTACACCGTTGAATATCCTATTATGTTTAGCTAAAGCGTGTGGGCTTTGGCATGGCATAGTAGATGTTTTACGGCGCTATAGACACAGGATTGACAGTTATGGCCCCAGTGAGGACCTTATTTTGATATAATATTTGGCTAGTGTTTGTTTCTGGCTTCTTTTATTTTATTATTGTGAGTATTTTACGTAAGAGAACATGTTAAAATGTTGGGCGGCACTGCACGACTGTGCTCTACGGACGAACCGCGCCTGATAGGTAGATAGATAGATAGATAGATAGATAGATAGATAGATAGATAGATAGATAGATAGAAAAACATAAACCATGAGAAATGTTGTTGAGAAATAAAGTAGTAAGGTATGAAACGGATAATATAGGCAGACAAACCTTCCAGAACGATGACTTTGTTGTAAACATCTTCGATTGTACCAAATGGCAAATCCGCCTCATCTGCCTGATAGAAGAATTTGATGACGTAGATGCAGAGAACGATGAAGGTGACGACAGCGTTAGCATAGGACACGTAAAAAGTTGATCCGAGACCTCCAACGAAGGAGTAGCTACCTGGAATGAACATTGCCTTTTGTTCAAAAGCCATCGAACTACTTCCAAATTTAATGGACCTTTATCGATCAGCGAGGAATTTTAAACGGTCATGGTCAAGGGTTGACAACAAGTTCATAAGTCAATATTTTCATTCGCTCTCTCTTTCTCTCACTCACTCTCTCTCTCTCTCTCTCTCACTCTCTCTCTCTTCTTTCCTTCCTCCTGTTCTCTCTCTCCCCTACCCCTCTCCTTGTCTCTCGTTCCCTCCCCCTCTCTCTCTCTCTCTTACTCTCTCTCTCTCTCTCTCTCTCTCTCTCTCTCTCTCTCTCTCTCTCTTACACGCACTCACACACTAACACACATATTGCAAACGGTATAAAACAACGACAATATCAGCAACAACAACTGCAAAAACAAAACAACAATCAAAATATTATTCGTATCCAGTCCTGAACACCTTTCTCTCATCTTCTTAGAGCGAAGACTGCAGCAGCCTTGTTGATCCTAGAACCAAATAATTCTTATACCTGCTTATTCTGGATCATATGGGTATTCATCTGCCGCTTCGTTCAGAAGTTTTCATATTGCCCATTTTATTGGGTTCAGCAGGTAGAAAGTTACCATTCGCCTCATGGGTCAAGAGCGACTTGTTAAAATATTTTGTGTAACCAACCAGCGTCTGTGTTTTAGTAAGACACTTCTCCACCGCATGCATATGATGTGAGTTTAATTCAAATGTGCAGAAGGTCTAAAAAAAAATCAAGTAGAGTACCGCTGTCAATCTGTAGGGACTTTGTTTTCCTATTTAGACTAGGTTGACCGTATAATTCACTCTTCTATCTCCTCAACTCTGCGCTGTCATTAGATTAAAAAAAGATGTTGGCGATTTTTGCTCCCCCAACGGCACAATTAAGATCCTGTAGGAGGCAGGCCTTGACCTTGCCTGTCAGGGCCAACCCATGCAGAGAAGGATTCAACGTCCCAGCAGAAAGACCAAGATAATCAATAAACACTCCCCACTCAGGAATAGGCGAAGCGCCTAATCGCTAGACCACAGACGCAGGTACAGAAAATATAATCGTGCTTTTATTTTTCCAAACATCATTAGTCAGTGAGTAAAAGCAAGCTATAACGCCATTAAATGATCATTAACACTTTGAGGGCGAAGCGGAAACATACGTCCCAAGAGCAGCAGAGCAACGACAACGTTTCGGCACATTTCGAACCATCATGCACAAATTAGAAACATGAGTTCACTTATTTTATAGTGTGCATACTGTTGCATGCCTTTTGGAGTTTCGAATAAAGGAAAGAAAAATCGAAAAACCTGTTTGAATGACGAAGTTATGCCCCCGAACAGCACATAATCTATCCATTCTCTGTCAAATTACCAGAATGCGTGACATCAATGAGTTAATGACCTCAATCGTTTCTTTACGGGCACTGGAAATCCGCAGGCAGTAGTATTTTATCTGTCATATCAGGGCCCATTTCCGAAACACTATTTCAAAGCACTCACATGATCACATGAATTAATTATTTCGGATAGCCCAGATGAGCCAAGATGATAAAAATGTTCAGCTTCGAAAACACCCAAAGGCACTACAAGCACTTGGGACAAAATACAGTAAAAAGAAGACTTGTTTGTTTGTTTCCTCGCTGGCGCTTTACAATTGTCCTTTATATATATATATA